CGCTGCCCACGGCGGCCGGGTCCGCGTTCTGCGACGCCATCGCGGCCCCGGCTGCGCTGCCGCTGCCCGCCCCGGGCTCCGCTCCCGGCTCCGCTCGCCCGCCCGGGCTCCGCTCCCGGCTCCGGCTGCCCTGCGGCTGCCGGCCCCGCTCCGGCACCCGCTCTCTAGCCCGGACTCCGGCCCCGGCCGCTCTCAGGCTCCGGCTCCCGCGCCGGCTCCCGCTCTCTCGCCCGGTGCCGGTCCCGGTGMCGCTCCCGCTCCGGCTCCCGGTCCCGATCCCGCTCCGGCTCCGCTCCTGATCCCAGTCCCGGTCCCGGTCCCGCTCCGGCTCCTGATCCCGATCCCGGTCCCGCTCCGGCTCCCGCTGCGCTCCCCGCTCACCAGTTCCGCTCCCGCGCCCCCGTTTGAACGTTTCAAACTCGCAACCTCTCCACCAATGGGCGCCGCGCTCCGCTCGAGCCGCCCAATCACCGCTCGCCAGGGATGCGGCTGCCATAGCAACAGCGCCCGGCTGCGCAGCCCCGCCCCGCGGGGCTCCCCATTGGCGACTCACACGTGACGCAAGCCCTGCTGGCGGGAAGTCCTCTTAAAGGGCCAGACCCCCCGTTCCCGACCCCGGAGCGGGCAGCGGCGGCGGGTGCGAAGCTGCTTTATTGGGAGGGCGGCGCGGGGCGCCGGGCACGGGGGGGGCCACGGGGCGCGGCGGGGCCAGGGCGGCGCTCAGGGCTCGGGGGGGCCCTCCGGGAGCGGTGGCGGCGGCTCCCCGCCGTTGCGGAGCGTCTCCATGTACTTCTGCATCTTCTCGGTCATCCACGCGGGCGGCACGAAGGGCTTCAGCTCCTCCAGCCTCAGGTCCACGTTGTCCCTGCGGGCAGAGGCGGCGCTGAGCGGTGGGCCGGGGGCCGCGGCGGGGCRGGCGCYGCCCGCGGGAGCCCCGCTCACCTGTAGTCCTCGCTGGCCGCCAGGTCCCGGATGTCCTCCTCGAGCAGCAGGTACGCCTGCGGCACGGGCACGGCTGGGCGGGCGCTGCGCCCGCGGGCTCCTGCGCCGCTGCTACATCCCCGCCCGCCTCCCGCGGGACGCTGCGCCGCGGCAGGGGCTGCTGCCGCYGGCGCCCGCCCCTCGTACTCACCATCTTGCCCCCTGTGGCCCTCATGTGCTGCTGCTCTGCCAGCCAGTGCTTGTCTTGCGGGTCAGCTGCGTACTGCGAGAGCGGCGGCGCCCGGCTGAGCGCGGGCAGGGTGCAGCCCTGACACCGCTGCCCCGCGCGGCCCGGCCCCGGGGCTGTCCTGCCCCCCGCTGCCCGCCCTGCCGCTGCCCGCAGCCCGCGCTCGCCTCTCCCCGCTTCCACCGCGGGCGCCTGAAGGCTCCAGCGCAGCCGCCCCGCGGAGCCCGCCCGAGGCCCCTGCTCGCGTCCCTGCTGCGGGCCAGACCCTACGGGTGCAGGACAACAAACACGGGGGTGGCCGCGAGCCAAAGCGCGCGCKGCCCATTCCCATCACGAACCGCTGCCGAGCAAGCCCTGAAGGGGAGAGCGTCCTGCTGCCGCAGCTGACCTTAAAGAGGTGGGGATGCTTGATGTAGAGTCGCCCTCTTGTTCCGCCCATCCCGAGAGCCCTGAAACAGGAACAGGAGGCAGGTGTTAGCGYGGTGCAGGGGGGTGCTGGCTGGCGTGGGGACCCTTCCTCTCCTCCCCGAGCCCCTGCCCTTCCTACTGCTTCCGAGGCAGAGAAGTGAAGTGACGGGAGGAGTCTCGTGTGCTCCTGCCTGGGGGACACCACCCTCCATCAACAGGGCCATTCCTTACTTGTTTGCTCGAGATCCCAGCACAAAGGTTGTGGTTTCAGTCAGTCGGGATGGATCCCACTACAGAGCAATTGGAAAAGGGGCAACATTAGAAATGAAGCTGGTGCCAACCAATGCTCCATGAGCCTCAGATCTCTGCTGGGGAACCTCAGAACCGCCCCCTGGCCTGGGAGGTGGCCCAAAACCTCTGAATCTCCAAGAGGAGGGGAATTATGATGTCACCCTGGGCTGCTCTAAGCTGTCTCCTTGGCACAAAGCACTCGTGGGATCCTTCTGGCTACTGCTCTTGCCCAAGTCTCCTAAMGGGCGGTACCACAGAGCTCCAGCCAGTGTCTGGAGGAGACAAGCACAGGCTTCCAGGCACTTCACTCCTCGCTTCGTTCTTTTTGACGCAGAGGCCCCGCAGGGCAGGGCACAGCTTAGAACTGCCCTCCGGGCCCACAGCAGGTAGGAGGGCTCTGCTGGCCGAAGCAAAGGGGAGGAGAGGGAGAGCCCAGCAGCATTGGCCAACCGATACCTTTGGTCCTTCCCTTCTCACAGGCTCAGAGACTTTGAGCTTCCACCTGAGGGGAAAGAAAACAAAGTAAGAATAGATCTCCATGGGACCGACCCACAGACCAGTCCTGCAGGGAGCCGAGCTCCACGCCCTCCAGCTCCACCTTCATTCACACCCGTTCCGCTCTGGTGCCCAGCTCTGCATCCTCATTCCTGGGGCACGTCCTCTGCTTCCAGCTGCCAAGACCCCACCGCTACCCGTGTCCTATGCTGCTCTCCCAGCCATCCCTCTGGACCCTTCTTTCCTCTGGCCCTGCTTCCTTAGAGGTCTCCTACAGCCCCTGCTCCCTCAGCCTCTCTCCCGGCCCTCCCAGGCGCGCGCCCCGGCTCAGTCCACACTCACGCAGCCATGCCCGAGAGCCCACGATCATTTGCCAGGCTGTGTCCTGGAGGCCTCCCCTTTCTCTGCAAGGAAGAAATCCTCTGGTTACTCGTTTCTCTAGGCCGAGAGAACTCTTTCAATTATCCCCCAGTGGGAAAATTGCTCCTTTAGCCACGAGCAAAGCACCAGCTAGCCCAGGAGCAAGGCCTTAAGGCATCCCGAAAGCTGCACCTGCATCTGCATGCACTTATATCATAGAAAGGATGCGGAACAGATTTCCCACACCGTGGAAGTGCCTGTGCGGAACACCCTACCTTTTTGGGAACGGGGCTTCCTCGCCGATGCAGCTCCTCGTCCGCCTGCCGGGCACGCTGGCAAAGGAAGGCAGGAGGTGAAGAGCAGCCCTCGTCGCGGGGCCGCTGCCCGCTCTGCCGTGCTCGGGGAAGGCCCAGGCCAACCCGCCTCGCCGCGGAGCCCCCAGCAGCGCCGGCCGCCCCGGGACCTGCCGCTCTGCAGCCTAACACCTCCCGGCTCTGCCGCCCCATCACAGCGACCGCTGCACAAGGACCTGGGGCAGGGATTTACCCTTCAGCTCTTAAGGGACAGCACCAGCTTGCAGGTTGTTGCCGAAGTGCAACAGGGACAGGCAGAGAACGAAGCAGCCCGGRGCCCTCCTCCCGGCTCCTAAAGGTAAAGCCAAAAGACCAGGAACAAAAACAACTTTTACCTTTGGCAGGGCCTGCTCGTGGGGCAGCCTGGGGACGACCTTCTTGCCATCAGAGAACAGCAGCTTGGCCTGCAGGAAGAGGAGGGAGATGTGGTCCCAAGCGCAGAGATGACCGTGTCGGMCACCCTGCCCTTTCCTGCGCGAGGGGCTGTGTGTGCAGAGGTGCTCGCGCTGCAGAGAGGCCCTGGCCACGCAAGCTCTGGAGGCCACAGCTCGGAACTCAAATGCCAGGAGAGCGCGAGGGCTGGTCCCTGCAGGCCCGGGGATTCAAGCGTTCCTGGCCAAAACCTCTGGTCAGAGCGCTCCGAAGCGCAGAGCTGCTCAGAGAGGGACGCGAGAGCGCGACGGAGTCGGGATGGCCGCGACAAGAGCRCGGTGTGAAAGAGCGAGGTCAGGACCTGCCCAAGGGGCCGGCGACGGGCGCCGCGAGCGGGAGCGCCCGCGGGAGCGCCCTGCTCCAGCCGTGCGACGGGCCGGCACGGAGCCGCGGAGCACGGCGCAGCGCACCGAGGGCCCCCCGCTCCCGGCCGCGCGCAGGGCCCCGGGAAGGGCTGCGGGTGCCCGGGGCCCTTCCCGCGGCGCCCACCTGCTCCAGGCAGCTCCGGCACGTCTCCTGGATGAGCTGCTCCGGGTCCACCTCCTSGCCGACGTTGTCGCGCACGTTGACGGCCGCTTTCTGGAAGAACTGCCGGGGAGAGCGGGGGCGCTGGGGCCGCGGCGAGCAGCGCGGGGCCGCGGCGGCCGCGCGGCGCCCGCTCCCACCTTCATGTACTTGTTGAACACGGCGCGGATCTCCTCGTTGATGCTGGGCTGCAGCACGGCCCGCAGCAGCTCCATGGACACCGCGGGGTCTGTGAAGCTGCCGCCGGCGCCGTCAGGCCCCGCGGACCCCAGACCCGCCCCGGGCCCCGTCCCGCCGCTACCTCGTGCTCATCTGCGAGCGGCGGCCGCGCCGCTGCACCTGCCGGTGCTTGATCATGATGTTCCAGGGGCTCTGCGGGGAGAGGCGCGTGAGCGGCGGCCCCGCGGCGCGGCGCGGCCCGCCCGCCCGGCACGCACCGTGCTCAGCGGCTGCTCCTCGGCGCCCGGGCCCGGGCCCTCCTCGCCCGGCGGCCCCGGCTGCTGCTCCGCGTCGCGGGCG